TGAATTACTTCTTAGGACTCCAAATCAAACAGACAGGTGAAGGAATTTTTGTAAATCAAAAGAAGTATGCTCTCAATCTGGTCAAAAGGTTTGAGTTGGAATCAGCCAAGCACATGAAAACTCCAATGGGTTCCAGCCAAAAACTGTCTAAGGATGATGTTGCAGAAGATGTCGACAGCACTCTCTACAGAAGCATGATTGGAAGCCTCCTGTATCTAACAGTAAGCAGGCCTGATATTATGTTTAGTGTTTGTGTGTGTGCCAGGTATCAAGCTAATCCCAAAGTCACCCATCTTAAAGCTGTGAAGAGGATTATTAGGTATGTTGCAGGTACAGTAGACTTAGGGATTCAGTTTTTCAAAGACACTAACACAAATTTGATAGGTTTTAGTGATTCTGATTGGGCTGGGGATATTAGTGACAGAAAAAGCACCTCAGGTGCATGTTTCTTTTTGGGGAATAATCTAGTTTCTTGGTTTAGTAGAAAGCAAAATTGTGTATCTCTTTCAACAGCTGAATCAGAATATGTAGCTGCTGGAGGGTGTTGTGGTCAACTAATTTGGATGAAACAAATGTTGGGAGATTATGGGTTAACCAGTGATACCCTGACCATATATTGTGATAATTCAAGTGCTATTGACATTTCAAAAAATCCTGTTCAACACTCACGAACTAAACACATAGATATTAAACATCATTTTATTCGTGATATAGTTGAGAAAAATATAGTGTGCTTAAAGTACATTCCTACAGAAGATCAGCTGGCTGACATCTTTACAAAGGCATTAGATTATGAGAGGTTTTCTAAACTCAGAAAATCTCTCGGGATGTGTACTCAATAAACATGTCCTGAAATGTGTTGCAGCACCTCATCAAATATCTTAAGCTGCAACATAATTTTCTGAAGCATTAGCTTCATTAAATAATGACTTCACTGTGATGGATTATTTTCTAAATCAGTAACTGGAAGTCTTTCACCTTGAAACGTGATCATGCTTCATGTAAACATTTAGACAATAATTACACTCACATAAGTCAAACTCCTCTATTTTGATAGTCATATCTTAGTAACTGAGGAACCTTCAAACTGAACACTTGATCATGTTCCATGTGAATTGTTTGACTTGAAAATAAGAGTTTATATATATATTATCAAAAAAAAAATATATATTATTATATAAATGAAAATATATATATATATATATATATATATATATATATATATATATATATATATATATAATATCTATGCCTGCCAGCTAATTTTTTTTCTCACTATTAATCATTAATAAATGTGTTTTTCTATTTTTATGAATATTTCATGAGTGCTACGGTTTTATTTTTATTTTTATTGAATTATCCCTATTTATATGGGTCATGGGTACATGGGTTAATTCTTTATTTTCCACTAAGTCCACTCCTTATTGTGCCATGTGTCACGTTTTTCTTTAAACTGCCAAGGAAACTTTTATTCTCCTTAATCACACTCTCCCCAAGAAAAACGCACACCACTTCTTCACCTTCTCCACTTCAATTTTTCTTTCTTTCTTCAGCAAAATTCGGGCTTATAAATTTCGTGCTTCTTCTCTCAAAAATTCACACTCAAAAATCAAAAGCACAAAGAAGCAATCTTCTTTTATCTACTGTATCATGGCATCTCCACCTAGAAATCCTCTTCCAGCCGCCGTTGGTGATGTCCACAACGATGCTGCAGCACCTGAACCGGCAGACCCAAATCTGGCCATCATCGTTCATCCAATCAATTTTGAAGCTGTACCAATCAGCTACATTGAGCCCGGAGATGAGCTGAACCCGATCGACCCAGACAATTTCGAGTTTGTGGGTCCCTCTTCCACTGCCGGAAGGTTTCCAACGCGCCGGTCCAAGCGCACGAACCCTTTCCCAGATCTGAATACTGCGGTGCCACAACGCCGGAGGGGAGAAAACTCTCCCCGAAGAGGAAGCAGAGGTGGAAGAAGAGGAGGCAGAGGTGGCCGTACTCCAGTTAGGCCAAATCCACCAAGAGGTCTTCATTTGGTGGATGAAGAAACTGATGATGAAGAAGGAGATCCTACCTTTGCAGCACCGGAGGCTCAAGCTCTATCCTCCAGCTCCTCTGAGTCATCATCAAAGGACTCACCTCCCCTAGCATCAACTCAGGGGGAGACATCTCAGCCTAGTATGGCAGCAGCAGCCTCTCAACATCCTATTTCTAAAGGTGTTGCTGCACATGCTCCAGAAGATGCTGCACCCACTGTCTCAGCAAATGCTCCTCAAAATGTTGCTGAGGATGCTGCGCCTTATCAGGATGAAGTAATGCCTGATTTTTCTGGAATGTCATCTGCAGAGCATGTTGACATTCTCACTGTTGATGCTCAGGATTTCACCACTACTGAAGAAACACCATCAGCACCTCAGGCAGACCCTCTGGAAACACTGGCAGAAGCAGCAGTTCAAGCAGATGCATCTCCTCCTCAGGCTGAAGAACCAGAGAAAAGTGATGACAGCTGGGAGGTTCCTCTAGCTGCTTTTCGCAAAAATTTGCCCTCCTCTGATTCAGACAGTGAATCTTCTGAAGACTCTTCTCAGCAGAAAGAAGGTGTTGCCCCACCTGTTGCATCACCTGAACCAGCATATGTCCCTGATGAGCTTGAAGATTCAGAAGATGATGACTCCTCAGAAGAAGAAGAACCAGACTTGGATGGGAAGAATTTGTCAACCCCTTTTGAGGTAAACAATGCCTTCAGTCCTAATTTTTATTTTGAATCTGATTCAATTTTGAGTCCTCAAGTCATGAATTGTCAATTCATTGAGGAAAAGAAAATTTCTAAGGAAGAATTTGATAGGCATAGGATAACTGCTTTTTTTCACCAAAGAAAAATCCTTAACCTAGTTGAGATTGCCTGCTCTTATGATCCCACGGTTGTGAAGGAATTTTATGCCAATTTGCAAACTTCTTTTTTAAAGAAAAACTCTCCAAACTTTGGCAAAGTTTTTGTGCGAAATTCCATCTTTTCCTTTTCTCCCAAAATTATCAACTCTCATTTACAAACTCCTACTGTGATTGATGAGGATAATTATGGTGATTTTACTGAGATTTGCAAAGTTATTTATGGAAACCGTTTAAGAAGTTGGCCTGCACACCCAAGAAAATTCAAGGTTTCTCAACTCACTGCTTTTTATTCTGTCTTGTTTAGACTCACAGTGATGAATTGGATTCCATCCAAAAATGTCTCTGTGGTAACTAAACCTCATGCAGTACTCATGTACAAATTGGGGATGGGTTTACCAGTGGATTTTGGCAAACTGTTCTTTGATACTATTGGTCATCTTGCCCAAAAAATTTCACCCTCTACTCATCTCCCTTATCCTTCTCTCATCTATTCCATTTTACTCTCTCAAAACTTGAGCCAAGATGACTCAGAATATCTTCACACTCCACAAGGCATGATCACTGTTTCTCAAAATTTTCTAAGAGCTCCTCATGTCCAAGATCTTCCTTGGAATGGAGATAATTTTCTCTCATCTGAATCAGGTCAAAATAATCTTGGTACTGAAGGTGTTGCTCCTCATGTTGACAACACTCCTAACATTCTTGTGTCTGTTCCTAGAGATCTTCTGTTGCAACAGCTTACTCACTCTCTAGCTCAACTTACCTACCACCAGTCCATGGTGGACATGCTTCAGAAGGCTCTTTCTGATCAAAAAGGGGGAGAAAAAGGTCATGAAGCTGAAGCAGGAACATCTCATCCTTTGGATGCAAGAGGCAGAGAGCAAGGAGTTAATGAAGAGGAAGCAAAGAATGAGGGTGAAGCTCAAGGAGCAGAAGAAAGCAGTGGATCTAGTGATGGAGGAGCAGCAGCTGATACTGAGGAGACTTTGGATATTTTACTTTAGATTGTTTTCATGAACAATACTTTATTTTTGTTTTTGTTCTGTTTATTTTCCCTCTGAACTTTTGTTTAGGACTGCACTTTGGTTATTTCTTTTGTTGGACTATCTTGCTGAATTTGGTTTGAATTAATTTTTCTATATTTTTCTACTGTTATCAAATTCAGGGGGAGTTCAAGCAATATCTCAGGGGGAGTATTTGACTAAGATTTAGTTTTGATCAGAAAGTTAAAAAGGGGGAGTTTGAAACACGTGGATTAATTCCACATTGTGTTTTTAACTTTCTTACTCTCTAAACTAAATTTTAGTTAGTGGGTTAAGTAGTGCTTAGTGGATTAAATTATGGAATTTATCTTAACTTCCAAACTAACCCACTAACCCACTTTCTTGAGTGCTCTTGTGGTTGGTTTTCTTGCAGATCATGGACTGGGGAGTGGAAGCTTGGCAAGTCTATAAATACCAAACTCAAGACTCAAGAATGTACAGATTTCGAAGAAACAAAAAGAGTGCTGAAGTTTAATCTCGAGAATTTTAGTGTGTTTCTAGGATCTGTTGTACGTACTCCTTATGTGTACATTCTTTGAAATCTAGAATTTTTAATATTTTTTTTTTAGTATCTAGATTTGGTTGTAAGAATGATCATGAGAATGATTCATTTGTAAGGAAGAAGTTTTCGCACCTCTTCCATTTGTATTCTTAGAATACTGATTTTAATATAATCTTTTTCCGTCCTGTAAAGGTCAAGTTTACAAGTATTTACTTGTGAACATTTTTCAATTCCGAGTATTGTTTCCTTTTATTTCCGCTGCTTGTTTATTCAAGTGTCATAACACTTAAGATAACACCTCTGTATTAAACGAATTCGGGACCATAAATTCTTTCAAATACCCCTAGTTGATCAAACATCACGAAACATATGCTTGCATACGAAAATATTTAAAAGCTTTATTTGCCTATATTATTTGACAAGTCCCTTTTTGCGTGGGGCATCGCCACTCGCTTTGGCAACATCGACTGATTTCAGAACTTAATTTGAAACCCATGTTTCGACCCATACGTTTCCGAGATGCCAATTAAAATTACTTTTAAAAAACGAAAAAGCTTGAAAGGGTTGAAAAACATATTTAATAACATTACAACTAACTATGATAAGAGTTATTTGCCAAGTAGAAAATATGGCACCACTTGCAGTAGTTATTTACAATGAGAACTACACATTTTTGGTACTTAGCCCATTTCATGTGACTAGTACAATATGCTCTTTAACCAACATCTACTTCTTGAGCTTCATAAGAATTTAAAAAAAAAAAATTAAAAAAAAAAAAAAAAGAAAGAAAGACGCGAAAATGGAGGACAAAATATGTTCCTATGAAGTATGGTCCACAATATTAGCAGAGGACGATCGATTTAAGGTTATTTTCTTGGATATTCGGACATTCTTTAACATCATATCGAGTTTCTCTCTCTCACCTTCCACCTCAGCAAATCGGAGGCTGAGCTGAGAGAAACGGTTATGCATTTCTCTCAGTTCCGCCTCCACGTCAGCATTCCTTCCCTTTAGTTCCAACATTTCTTTTATCAACTCATTTATGTCTCTAAAACTCTTCAAAACCGCCTCCTCGTCACTATGTTGTTTCAAGAAAGAACTAAAAAAACAACAAACAATTAAGTGTTAAGATTTTTCAGACAATTGAAATTATTACAGATATTGTGAAGAGCTTTACCTCTGGAATTGGATGTTCGATTTATTTTTCGATTTTAAGGCTTCGGCGAGTTCGATTTCCAATGCAAGAACCCTTTCTAATGCATTGCCACCACTCGAGATCTCGTCGAACAACGGAAACATGTTTCTTAACTCTTCGTTTGCCTTTTTAAAGGACAACAAAAAAGAACATAGGTAAGAATCTGAATCGTCGATATTTGAATATTAATTATTAATTGAACGAAACATTAATGAGCTCACTTTTTGCAGTTGCGTGATTCCCGTTTGTGGAACTTCACGATCCGGGCCCACATCATGGCCTATGTTGAAGACTGTATTTTCGTTTTTCATCTTTTCCAACTACAAGAAAAGAAGACGAAAAAATCGCGTAAGAATTCCATTAGACATAATAAATCAGAATTCAATCATTTCAAATAGACTCCATCCTTCCCATATTTGCTGTCACTTTTGTTTGTTGCGCACATATTAAGAAGGAAAAAAAAACCCTAGAAAATTACTAATATACCCATGGCATTAATTATTTTTCAATTACTTAAGAGAGATAAAGGCAAAATTGAAAAGGTGCAATTAATGAATCATTGGAGGGAATAGTGTTGATTGAATTCTGAATTCAGCACCCATGTATTTACTCTAATTGTAAAAAAGACTCTTTATTATTAATATTAGCCAAAAAACCCCTATGATTCAATTTTTTTTAGGAAACTACCCCTAAAAACTCACCATTTAGGAGGGTGTATGCTAAAAAAACGCATCATAGGGAGGGGTTTGCTAATATTAATAACACGAGGAGTCTTTTAGCAATTTGATATGTAACAGGGGTATTAGAAATATATCGACAACAATATTAGACTCTTTCAAGATTTAGACACACATACATACCTCTTCATGTAAATGTTCCAAGCTGAATCTCAATTTTTGTGCACCCAAATGTTCGTTGTTAATAATTGAATTACTGCCGTTGCTCTGTGGGGAATCTTCCGTGACAAGTAACTCGGGTATTGGGTCCGTGCCTATAGGTGCCGTTTCCTGCATGATGGCAAACCATAACATGTGTAAGAACTTTCCTTAGAAAACTTTGTCTATTCATATTTACGTAAGAAACATCTATCTATCGAACCACAAGTTCGATTTAGTACGGAAAGTTTAGATTATAAATATTAATGCATGGTTCCTATTCTTGGAATACAATTATAAATATCTAAAAAAACGGTCGTAAAACGGGACTTTTCGGCATGAGGATAACTTGTCAAGCTAGTTAAAATCCCGATTTCGATTAATTTTCAGCAGTTTATGCAGACACTCAATTGATTCATAGGCTAAACAAAATCAACAGAATCGCCTAAAAAAATGCTGAATCGAAGAATTACCTGTGCAGACTCGTCTGTATCAGCAATTTCACCATCTTGAATCGATATTAATTTTTCTGTTTTAACATCACGCGTTAATTCATCCTTCTCCAAATCCACAGAAGATTTCAAAATCTCCAATCTACCCTTCACCGAGCTAAGTTCAACAGCAAGCCTCGATTTCTCCTCCTCAAATTCTCGCAAAGAATCCGCAACTTTTTCCTTTTCTTCCTTGCAACATTCTAAGCTCAGCAAAGCGCATTCCAGCTCAGCCTTTGTCCTGTCGTAAGCGTTGCTCTTCTCACGCTTCTCCAAAATCGCCGCCTTCAACTCTTCTTCCAAATTCGACATTCTAAGCGCCAGCTCGTCGCTCTTCTTCAAGCTCACAGCTTCCGATTTTTTCCTGCTCTCGATTTCGTCAATAGCATCTTGCAGCTTCAAAAGCATCTCTTCCCCGTGTTTTTTCGACATGGAAAGCTGCTGGTTCAGTTCTTGGACCGTACTTTGACACTGCTCTTTAATGAAAGCAATCCTCAACGAATCTTGTACTTCCGGCTCTCGTTTTTCGCGAGCTGTAAGAGATTCAGCCTTGTCTTTCAGTTCCTTCAGATGAATCGATAAGTTCTTGAATTCTTCGGTTTTCAGAACCTGTTCAGACAGCTTATGCGAAAGCTCGTCTTTTTGCTCCTCCAAAGAAGCTATGTTCGAAAACTGTTCGTCGACTTTGTCTTTGAGTAATATAGCTAAAATTTCGAGTTCCTCTTTCGAAGCTGTAAGCCCATTTATTTCTTCCTCCATAGCTTTTATCCCTTTTTTCAGCCGTTCTATCTCAGAATCTCGTAAAATGGTATCCGAGGAAAAACGGGTTTCCATTATTTTTAGGTTTTCCTTGCAATTTTCAAGTTCGCCACCGATCGAAATCGTGGAAATCGAAAGAAGCTTGTTTTGAGCTTCGGAAGCTTCTAAATCGGATCTTAAGCTTTCGAGACTTGTCGATAAGTTAGCTTCTGTCTCAAGAAACGTTGCCTGAAGATCCTCGAGTAGTGTTTTGCAATGGTTTGCAAGATAAACCAGCTTAACATCAGCTAAAAGGGAATACTCGTGCATCTCTGATAACTTGCTTTCGAAATTAGCTCGATCGGAATTATTTCTCTCTTTGAACGCATTTAGCCGACTCAAAAGATGGGATTTTTCCAATTCAAGATTCGATGCCAGTTCCTTAACATGCATCAATTCGGGTTTTTGCTGTTCAGAAGCTTCTAAATAAGATCTTAGCTTTTCAAGACTTATCAATAAGTTAGTTTTTTCTTCAAGATGGTGATTTAGGACAGCCTCTGTACTGTCAAACCTTGTCTGAAGATCTTTGACGCACTCTTGCGAGGACTCGTGTTTACGCATGAGTTCCTCGATTAGGGTTTCGTAATGGCTTGCAAGATAAACAAGTTTAACATCAGCTGAAAGCGAGTACTCATGCATCTCTAATAACCGAGTTTCGAAATTAGCTCGATCGAAATTTTGCAGGCTCAAAAGACGAGATTTTTCCAATTCAAGATCCGATGCCAGTTCCCTAACGTGAATCAATTCGGCTTTTTGCTGTTCGAAATCGAACAAATTATCCTGATGTTTGTCTGAGTGAAAAGTCAGATCTCTTACTTTTCCTTCCAGTTCATCTTTGCAAGTTTTCACCACATGCAACTCGTCGTGCAAAACTTTCAACGTCTCGTTCAGACAACTAATCTCGTACGATAGCTTGTTCGATTCCTCGGTTTTGTCGTGTAAGCGCATCGCAAGTTCTTGCTTATCATGCATTAGCTCGGTAATGGTTAAATCCTTCGTCCGAAGTCCTTCTGCCAGAGAGTCCAAACCCGAGATTTCTCGAGCAAGGTGACCGTTATTATTACACGTCAATTCTTGCATTCGATCTTCCAAACGAGCGAAATCAGACAAAAGTACTATGTTCTGCTCGAAATAATTCTCTTCGTATTCAGAACCTAACTGAATTTTGTCGGCCACCGATTCGAGCTGAGCTTGAAATTTGTCCACAAGGGCATTCGACAAATCGAGTTTAGTCACCATCTCTTGCATGGCACTTCTGAAACTCTCCTTCATCGTCAGAGTATCTGACCTGGCGGCCCTCATCGCCACATCAGCAACGTCTCTCTCACTTTTCAGATTTCGATTCTCTTCCATTAGTTGACGAGTTTTCACTACAGAATTATCCTGCATTTTCTCTAACTGCAAAAGGGCATCTTTTATTCCCACACTCCCGAAATCGGAATCTTTGTTAGATGCTAATAAATCTCGTAACTTTTCTTGAACAAAATCGATAGTTTCCTCGAGATTTTCCTTGGAAGAAACCAATTCATCCGATTCAGCTTTGAGGGTCGTTATCGTTTCCTTCAAAAGCGACGCTTCATTAGCAAGTTTCTCGTTTTCGAACGCCTCGTTTTTCAATCGAAGCGACAGCTCAGCATTCTCAGCCAAACAAGCCACAACGGTGCTCTCCGAATCCTTCTCCTTCTGACCAAGAAGATAATTTTCCTTCGAAAGTTTCGCCAACTTCTCCTCCAAGAGCCGATTCTCCGAAATGCTACTATATTTATACTCGTTGAGTTCGTGAATATCATCCTTTGCCTTCTGCAACCTCACCATCAACTCGTTCTGAGAAGCGGTCGAGAGTTTCAACTCTTCCACAAGTTCGTCAATTTTCTCCTTCATATTTCTAATTTCAAAATCGGCTTCAATCAACGGTTCTTGAAGTGCCCTTGAGTATATATCCAAGTTCAAATTCATCGAATACATTTCGATAAGTTCTTCTTCAGCCCTTCGATAAAGCTCCTCGTGCATGGAAAAAGATCTTTTCCTTTTCGTTTCATAATCTTCTTGATTCTGATTAGGTACAGCTTGTTTGATGAGGCTTTCGTTAGTCTCGAACATGGAAGTAACCTGTGAGGAAAGCACATCGAGGTCTTTTTGTAATTTATCCACCGCTATCGAGTAATTTAGACGAGCCCTTTTCAGAGCAGCTTCCGAAATTGTAGCCCTTTTCTCGAGCTCTTCGTTAATGGCTTCCAAATCACGTTTCTCTTCGACGAATCGAAGCATTTGCTGACTCATATCTTGGCTGAGTTTTTCAGTTTCGGATTTAGTGACCGATAAATTGTAGAGGCAAGTGGCGTGCTCTTTGGTCACGTGCTGTAATTCACCGAGCATGCGCTTTTGATTTTCTTCCAGCTCGTGAATTAGTGCTTCGTAGTACAGTTCCATTTGATCCATTTTTCTTGTAAGAGATTCCTTTTCGACTTTCGCGTCGTCCAATTCTCTTACAAGATCGAAGATTTGAGCTTTCATTGCATCGATGGGATCAAAGATTTCCGGCTGACACAAATCGAGACCGAGCCCATTTTCAGACACAAAACGATCGTCCTTAAAAGATGCGGTATCTCGATTTTCGGTCGTTTTTTTAATCCGGGTTATTTCGTTCTTGAAATCCAGACATTCTGATTTCAAGACAGAAACCTCGTTCGCCAGCTGTTCGGACGAAGACGCCTCGGCCGCCAGCTGGCGTGAGAGCTTTTGCGTTTCGGAGCCTAATTCGTCAGCTAGGGTCTGCAGAGAGTCGACTTCGAGTTTGAGGTTGAAAAATGAAGATTCGGATAATTCCAAACTTGCTCTAAGTCGACTGTTCTCTTCGAAAGCCGTTGCTAATTCGTTGTTATTGTCTGTTGTGGATTTGTCTGAACCAACACTCCCTTGGGCCGTATTTGGATGATCGGGTGTACCTCTTTTGACTTTATGTGGACTAGAAGTTGTACTTTTGGAATCAACTTCATGCTTCTCCGCAGAGAAACTTCCGGAAGTATTCGACGAGCCATCGAATCCAGTAGCCGAGCCTCCATATTCTTCGCTCGGGTTCACTTCTTCTTCGAGCGAAGAGACCTCGTTAGCATCTGATTTAAATTTAATATGTGCACCCACCTATTAAAAAAAAACAATCTTTAACTATGTTTATATTCAAATTTGAAATTCAAATCAATCATTAAGGCTCCGTTTGGATCAAGAAAAAAAATGCTAAGTACCAAGATGAAAGGACTAGGTAAAATGCTTTTCCAACGTAATCAATTTCATCACCATTTTCCTTAGAAACCAAACATACTAACGATTTTCAATTTCTTTTTGTTTTCATTTGCTTTTGCATTTTCTTTTTCGTTCATTTCAAAATTCATGAACCAAACAGAGCCTTAAAAAAAAAAAGCAACGTCGTTCGATTCTAATGGATAGAGATAATAAGACCTCGTCGATGGTGACCTCTTCGGGATATTGTATTTTGGCAGGGGCACTATCGGCATGTAATCCCTTTTCTCTGAGTTCTCTCTGCTGCTCAAATTCCCTGCATGAAGTAAAAATTATTTTTTCGATAATATAATAATAATAATTGCGTAGAAAATCGAGGGCAGCATTGAAGAACAATGTTTCCGTACCTAAATCCAGTTTTTGAGGTAAGGAGCTGAATGGTAACCTGGAAACATATCAATTCAGTTAATTAAAATATCGAAGCGTAACAACATTAAAAGCGTCAATAAGATACCAAAACGAAATCGGGGGAAAAAGAAAACGAAATAAATGATTCATCGTTTTTTTCATTTCACTTACATGTAAAATAGTTCCGAAATTGCATCCGTGAAGAGGAAGTGATACATCGGATGGCTTTAGACCATCAACATAATCGGCAAGATTTACGGAAGCCTCACCGAGGATGCTTGCCCTCGAAGATCCCTATAATAAAATTGAAGTCGAACGGGATTTATTTAAAAACGACGAAAAATTTATTACAGTTGAAAATGCTAGAAATAGCAACATTTTGGATATTTCTTTACGAGGGTTTTTATTTTCTCATGCTAATAAATAGTCGATATGTGGGAAATTAAGATAGAAAGAAAGTACCATGGCCACGACAATTTTGTAGAGCTTCTCATCGTAAAGTTTGGTTCTAGAATCTTGAAGAAGCCTCGTCGTTTCGTAAATAGGATCGGACCATTTACATGTTCCGTTTCTTACGTTTGCTTTTGTTGTTTTAGCTGTAGCTTTCCCTGTATCGGCAGGTATGAACGATATAAACAACTTCTCCCATCCACTTTGTGGAATCTGAAACCGTAAAAAAAAAAACGTACCGTTAAGACATAGCATAAATAACCTAGTACTCAGCATTTATTACAAAAACAAAAACAAAAGAAATTTTACATGCGTTGCATGGAATTGGAGGCGAAAGACGACTTTGACTTTATTCTTCTCGAGCTTCCACTTAGAAACCCTCGACATTATTCCACACCTCGTTTAAGCATCATCTATCCACCGAGTATTTAGAAACCTACCTAAGCGCGAAACTGAATTTATAATCAAATCAATGTAATAAAGAATGAAAAAAAAAAAAAAAAAAAAGATCATTTAAGTGGACAATTCAGAAACAGAGTACCAATAACTACTTTTCCTTTTCGTTTTTTTTTTTAAGCATACAAGCTAATGTGAATCAAATAAAACGGGAATTCGAATCAATGATGCGATCGATACATAGATTGCTCATTCGGGGTTAAATAACTGCAGTCACAGGGGTTTGAAGAAAGGTTTTCGCGTTTCTGGTTTTCGGGGTTTCGGGTTTTCGGGTTTTCGGGTTTCGGGTTTCGGGTTTACGGATCTTGAAAATGGACAGCAGCAGGAAATTCATATCGGAAAAGGAAAAAAAAAAAAGAAAGAAAACAAAAGATCATTTAAGTGGACAAGTCACAAACAGAGTACCAATAACTATTTTTCCTTTTCGTTTTTTTTCTTTTTAAGCATACAAGCTAATGTGAATCAAATAAACGGGAATTCGAATCAATGATGCGATCGATACATTGATTGCTCATTCGGGGTTAAATAACTGTAGTCACAAGGGTTTGAAGAAAGGTTTTTGGGTTTCGGGTTTTCAGGGTTTCGTGTTTCCGGGTTTCGGGTTTCGGGGTTTCGGGTTGACGGGTTTACGGATCTTGAAAATGTGCAACAGCAGGAAATTCATCTCGGAAAAGGAAAACAAATTAAAGAAAACATAGTTTACACATAAATGGAGCTAAAAGCAGCAAAATACCTTTTCTTGAAAATACAATGAGGGCTCTCCATAGATTTGATTAAGCCAACATAAAGACGGAAGCTTTAATCGAAAAAAAAACCCCGAAAAGCTTCGAATTAATGAACCCCACAACAATGATCTCCCAACATTTTCTTGCACAACAGCAACATCAAAGATTCAATCTTGAAAAAAAAAACTAAATCAAAGAAAAAAAAAAGTGAAAAACACAGCAGCAAAACAATGTCACTCTTCAGTTACTTTTTTCAAGAACAGTAGCTCATTAAATTAATTGCAGAAAAGGGTTTACTCCCACTTCTCTTACAATGGTGGAATTTCAGACAGAGAAAAAAAAAAAAAAAAAAAAAAGAGCTAGCGCGTCACTTTCACGAGCACAATCATAATCATTAAAAAAAAAGGGGAAAAAATTCAACAGCCCTTCTGAGATGTTGAATTGTCTGCGTACCTAATTATGGATCTGAGGTGGGCATCTTCAAATGCAAGTGAAAATGAAATTCCGAAAAATTAAAAAAAATAAAAATTAATGAATAAAAAGGGAATCTTTGTGGGAGAAGAGATGTTTTTGAACAGTGTCGATACTGTCTGAGTGGCGGTGGCCTAAAATTAGCAAGAACTCAAAATGCAGGAATTTCTTGAAAGTAATTTCTTTTGTTTTTTTTTTTTAATTTTTTTTACTAATTTAAAAAAAAATTATTTTTTGATTAATTAAGTGAATAAAGTAGAGATTGGGGATAAAAAAAGGAGGGAAAATTCCTGACAAAAGCCTGTAATGGAACTAAATAATTTTGGAGTTTTTGATGGTAAGAATTTCTTGGTGGCTTACAGCTTTTGGAATTTATATACTTTGTTTGGGAATGTTACGAATTTACAAGAATACCCCTTTGATTTTAATTTTGTGTGGAGCTGATGAGGGTATTTTTGTCTTTGGACGTGGCGCTAGTGTTGACTTCTCGTGCCAGATCTACCGAGAGTCAAGTAATATACTACCTCTCTATCTTCCTTTTTTTTCATATTTATTAATTTGATGATTTTAGAAGATATATTAACTATGGGGAAAATAAATTCAAATATTATTTTAATACAGTTGAACCTTTATAAATTAGTATAGTGGGGACTAGGAAAATTCTATTAATTTAGCAAATTATTAAATTATCGAGTTAATAATTTAATATATTTTCACCAAATCGGAACCAAAAGAAACTATTATTTAAGCGAGATTATTAATTTATTGAGGTTATACTGCATATATTTTAAACACATTTTATAGTTTTATTTGAAATTGTTATTAAATCCACTAATATGTAAGATTATCAATATTAAAAGGATCTATCAATATGGACGAAAATTATGATAAATTTTTGAAATTTGAAATGATAAATGTAGGACGACTTTAAGTAAATGTGAAATATTTTATTAATTTAAGTTTCAACCATTTATCTATTTAATGTTTATCTTCTCTTCAATACTAATTCTAAATAAAAATTCCACAATACCATTCTTCTATCTGTAGGTGTAAATCTTTCTTGGGGAATTATAAGCAGGGCCAACATAATCCGGTCTTAGGTCGTCCCTTTCCGCATCCGTCACATTGGCAACCGTCTGAGCATGGTGTGGTGAAAATTAATGTTGATGCGGCTTTTCCGAAAGGAGTGAACTACTATTCTATAGGGTGCGTAGCTCGTGATACAAGAGGGCAATGTCTATGGTGGGGAGCTTTTAAGATCAACGGGCGCCCCCATGCTGTTAATGGTGAGGCTCATGCTGTCTTACGAGCAATATCTAGAGCTAGGGCAATGGGATGGGAGAAGGTTGTGATCGAAGGTGATAATCTCCAGGTGATGACGGTGCTGCGGGACAAAAAAAATTTCACGTCTTCATTTGGGGCTTACATAGAGGATTGTTTATCTCTTGCAAGTTATTTTAGTTTATGTCGATTTAATTTTGTTCAGCGTTCGGGTAACCATATGGCCCATGCTATTGCTAAACAATTTGACCATGATTGTATTGAAGGTGATACCTTCCAATGATTTTGGCGAACATCGCCTAATAATATATATTTTCTTCAAAAAAAAAAAAGTTTTAAATTTAGTGTTGTTGAAATTCAAATTTAAACAACTGCTTCTAACTCTTAAAATTAAATTGGGAAAAATCAAAAATCATCTCAACTTGAAATTTGTTCGTAAATTTTTCTAGAAATTAGAAAAATGGAAACTTTTACTAATCATATAGAGTTGTTTGGTAGATTTTGTTGGATTAAAATACAAATCCTTGTCGAAAATTTTGATCGAAGAAGATTTACATCACCGGAAAAAATGTGTGATGGCGATATGTGCAAATTCGTTGTCATTGTGTTTGAGTAAGCGCAACTTTGTTGCCAATGCGTATCGACATACACAAGTTTGTTGTTTTCCCATATGTCTCAGACGCAATTTAAGTCAAATGTGATGACTTAAATTCATTACATGCAAGTTAGACTTAAATTTTGGGAGTTTGAGACAATGTTCCCGAAAAAAAATTAGGAGTTTTTGTTTTTACAAATCAGAAGATAGGAAAATAAAAAATAAAAGGAACAAAAAGACTTTTAGAACTTTCTAATTAATTCAGATTTTTTGTGGACTAAATAAATATATAAGTATAATATTGTAGAATTATTTAATTAAGGATGGGTTTGAATCCGCTCTTGCCCCTGGTTCCAAGTCACAATTCATAACTTTCGTATCCTACTTACTAGACTCATTTATTATTTATCTTTAATTTCTTCAATTTAAAATACTTTATTTTTCTTTTTAAATTTTACTAGATTGTTAAAAAAAATGAGAACAAAAAAATTGCAATAAATTATATACATATCAATAGTAAAAAAAAAAATTAAAATTTGATTATGGGGCCGTGGCCCTAGGGGTGGGCATTCGGGTCGGGTCGGGTAATTTGAGTTTTTTTTTTTTAAATATTACCCGAACCCGACCCGAAATAACCGGGTACCCGGCAAGGTCGGGTTATTCGGGTTTTTTGCAAAAACAAATATTACCCGAACCCAACCCGAAATAACCGGGTACCCCATTATTTCGGGTCGGGTTCGAGTTTTGCTGTTCTGCTGTTTTTTTCTTATTTATTTTTTTTTTTTTTTTTTTTTTTGTTCTTTTAATAATTATTTAATACTTCCAATTCTACATGTGAGATCACATTTCGTAAAATATTAAAAATATATTAGATGTTGCTTTACTTAGTTACAAATACGGGCAGTAGAGTAAAACATATTGTTACATACGGATGTTAATAAAAACAAAAGAATTACTAAATTTGTTACACAAAAACAACTAGTCATAAAAACAGAAAAAGAGAGACAGTAAATTTATATATATTACCCGGGTACCCAGGTAAAATTACTAATACCCTGACCCAACCCGATTTGGAAGCACCGGGTACCCGAACCCGACAAAACCCGGTTAATTCGAAAATTACCCAATCCGGTCGGGTATTACCCGACCCGGTCAGGTCATAATTCGAATAATCCCATCCGAATGCCCATCCATACCTGGCCCTCTGGCCCTACACTAGCTTCCTCACTGGCCGTGAATTTGATTCGGACGCAAAAATTGATTTAGTGAATAAAACACATAAATAAATGAAAAGAAAAATCGATGTACAACTAATGAAATAGTTATATTGAGGTAGTACAATAAAAAAATTTAACGAACATTATTCATAAAAAAAAAAAAAATCTAATTGATCATTTTAGAATAATCTGATCTCCAACTGGTTTTGAAGAAGGCACGGTGTTTGGATGAATTTTCTTGAACATGGATAGAGAAAAGCAGCCACCACCAGAAGCACTTCTCCTGCAGCTTTTCTCCTCAGCTTTTTCATGAGATGAATTCATCGGCTTTTCGGAAACATTATCCATTTTGTTCATCTTCTCCTTGTACACCTTTCGGATCATGTAAGCTTCGGCAAGCCCCGCAGAAGCCGTTGACATGGCTCTACCTTTTTTTTTTTTTATCTATAAATCAAATTAATGTACTCAAAAGAATTAAGCTGTTGCAAATATAATAGATAAGTTGGAATGAACTTTTTTAAAAGCTGAAGCTGGATTGCTACTATATATATATAGAGAGAGATTTTTTGTGAACTTGGGGAGCAAGAAATGTGGTCGTAATGGATGACCTCTGCTGTATGTATTCTTGGGTTCAACTTTTTCTTCTTACGTACTAGGAATTGTGTTTTGACTAGGCTTCCTATTTTTATTTTTATTTTTGATAAATAACTTGGCTTCCTAATTAGTGGGCAAAATTGAAATATTTAAAGTTTTATTTTGCATTTATGGAGCGTGGCATAAATATTCTTACCTATTTGCAGTTGAAAAAAATATTTTTAATTTTTTTAATTTTTTTTAATTTCAGTTTTTTTGTTTGGAATAAACTATAAAGATTCTGAAACCAACTATTATATTTCCGAAATCAACTATAATTTCGTTTTTTTATTTCATTTTTCTTAATTTTAATTTTTAGTTATTTTTTGCATTTTTTTTTCCAGTAAACAACTATTTTTTTGCCATTTTTTAATAAAAAAAACAACTATAAATTGTAAAACAACTATTAGAAAATAAATATTTTTTTCAACTGTTCGTGTTTTTCGCCGTAATCAACTATTAGAAAACTGTAAAATAGCTATATAAAAACAGTGATTTACAAATAACAAATTTACAAAAAATAAAAATAACTACAAATGACGAAATCAACTATAAATTGTATAAATCAACACGTACAGAATATCGAAAACAATTATAAAACTATCGAAAACTACTGTAAAGTTATCGACAATAATTACAAGAAAATAAAAATAGCAAAACCCGAAATCAACTACAAAGTAATGGAAACAAGTGTAAAGAAAATTGAAAAACATCATAGCGAATATGATATAAAGAAAATCACAATAAACAAGAAAAAAAATATACACTTTTTGCTTGAATTGAACGGCACCAGATCTGAACTTGGTCGCGAAGCGTTTTGCATCGTCGGGTTTGTTGGAATGACGAGATCCGAAATATGCACTTGTAACCGTGCTTCCCATCGATGACGTTGTTTGATTTCCGTGTTGGATTCAAGCCGGTTGTGGAGGAGCGGCGACGAGGGCGGCGGCGGCGTTGGAGGAGCTGGTTGTGCATGGAGGAGAACGACGATGTCAAAGCCTTAGGCCGACGATGTGGAAGAGGTGGGGGCGGCGGCGGCGACCCAAAGGTGGAATGGGATGGAGGTCTTGCAGAGAGAAAAAAAGAGAAAATGATAAGTGAAAGAGAAGAAACGTGAAATAGTGTTTTATTTCAGATATCACAAATTTAAAGAAATTTAATTATTTAGAGATATATTAATCATGTCAACTCCAATTTTAATTAACAAAGGTTTTTTTTTTAATAAATAGGGGGTCTCACTAATAATGAAAAGAGAGATATATCCACCTTAATACAAGTAAATGATTTTGGGGGTTTTCACTAATTATCTTTTTTTTTTTTTTTTTTTTTTTTTTTGTGTGTGGTTTGGTTTCTAATTACACTTTGGTTTCCATGTTTGGCCTTATTCCACTTTTGGCCCCCATGTTTGGAGTTATTCAATTTTTGGTCCCCATGTTTGGCCTTATTCCACTTTTGGTCCCCATTGTTCCAAAGTTATCAAAGTTCACCTCAAAGGTTCAATTTTAAATACTTTCGGTCCCCGCTGTCACATGCCCATTAGCATGTAACGGAAAACACTATTTTGGGGAGAGCACTCGTCTTGGGGAGAGCACTCATCTTGGGGTGGGCTTACTACTTAGATGCTTTCAGCAGTTATCCGCTCCGCACTTGGCTACCCAACGTTTACCGTGGGCACGATAACTGGTACACCAGAGGTGTGTCCTTCCCGGTACTCTCGTACGGAGAAATTGGTAGACACGCTGCTCTTAGGAAACAGTGCTATAGCATCTCGGTTCGAGTCCGAGTGGCGGCATGTCATCTCCTAAAAAAAGTAAATAGATCCTATAATGAAAATAATGAAAATGAATTGATGAATTCAATTCCAAATTTCAATTTTATAATTAAGGGAGTCCTTGTTTTTATGATATTTTCAACAACATATATTAATTCATATTTCTTTTTCAATCGTTTCTATTCTAATGACAATTCATTTGATAACCTTTTTTGCTGATGAAATTGTAAAACTATATGATTCATCCGAAAAGGGCATGATAATTTCTTTTTTGAAATTGAATTTTTTTTGCGGCCGGAAAATAATTAAAAATGTAAAATATAATTAATTTTTTAACAGTAAAAAATTAACTATTAAAATTATTGTTAATAATTAGAAACTCTCTGACACCATAAAAACAAATCCTGACCCCTTAAAACTCCTCAAAAACCAAATCACAAAAAAAAAATCCCAAACCGAAAAATTAAATTAATTAAAATATTTTTGGGGCTGGAAAATAATTAGAAATTAAAAAAACTTATAGTTATTTTTTTTTAATAATATTAAGTATAAATGAAATTTCTAATTATTTTCCAGCCCCAAAAATATTTTAATAATTTTTTTTCTTCAGTTTGGGATTTTTCTTTTTAGTGGTTTAATTTTTAAGAAATTTTAAGGTTGGGTTTTTTTTTATAAATAATTTGTTTATTTAATTTTTTTGATTATTAAAAAATTAATTATAAGTAGTATATTAAAAAAAATTATTCTCCAGCCCCCAAAAAAATTTCAATTTCAATTTTATCTCAAAATAGTGTTTCCGTTACTTGCTAAGGGGCATGTGACGACGGGGACCGAAAGTGTTTAAAATTGAACTTAGAGATGAGCTTTGTTCATTTTGGAACAACGAGGACCAAAAGTAGAATCGTGCCAAACAGCAGGGACCAAAAGTGTAAATTCTCCCCAAACATAATTATATATTTTACCAAAATTGAGTGGGAAGAATATAATTTTAGAATCCAGCCAAACGTAACGTGGTAATAGTCTAGGTGGGTAGTCTTTGGACATTTTTGGTTGGCTTTTGCAAAACGTGAGGTCAGCAATTATGTCATGGTAATAGATTTGCTTTACTTTTCACGTTTGAGGGTTTGAATTTAAATGAAGCCAAGTACATCAATACCATGAAACATTATTTAAATAAAAAATAACTCTTTCATCCGAAATCCAAATAACCTGATTCATACATCATTGGAAAGCTTCAGGCTACAACTTTTTAAGTTTTGACATTCTACAAATTCGGTGGGAACACCGATAAAATCTACTTAGAAGTCATCACTGCGGTGATGAAAATATGTTGCCGCGGTTTTGGAAGAGAAAAGTGCCAAGTTGGCTATGGTTGTCACAACCACCTTAGTGGAAACTTGTTACCGTGGTGATGGATCTTGATAGGCGAAAACACAAATGGTTTTGATATAGGCACATCCGAATAAAAGAAATGAGAACCGAATTTGATATAAATAACTCAACTTTATGCAAATACCGGATAATAAGGTAGAGCAAGTCGTGCTGATAACATGTTATAAATCTACTAAAAAAAAAATTCAAGCAAAACAATAATATGGAAGATCAAACATAAGGAGAATAAAACATTTTCTACTTATTATTTCTTGTACTCTCAAGTGTCTTAAATTCATTACAATGCCATCTATTTATAGTTCTCAAAGAGCATATTGAATACATAAAGTATTAATGAAACCGTCTTAAACTATTACATTTTCCTTCTTTTTCATTTTTTTTTAGAAAACTATTATGTTTTCACATCCACACTAAATGCATATTGAATGCATTCATAACATCAAAGATGTAATTGCTCATTTTTTTTTTTATTATTTTGGGTCAACATGAAACTATTTAATTAATTATAACTAATGTTACTGAACATTAACTTATTGATGTATGATGTCTAAGAGGAAACAATTTTGCCAATAAATTATCATTAAATCTAGAAATCATAACCAAATAAATGAGATAAAAAAGAACAAAAAAAAACTTTATAACAAAGCAAACATCAAAAAATACTGTTAGAGTTGGTACATAATAGCGAACACCACCAACCATCTTAATATTATCCAATTACGAAGAGTTGGTACATAACATGTACTGTTAGAGTAAAAGACTAGGGTTCGAATCATGTAGGTCACCTACTCTCCCAATTTGTAACTTGCATGATTTGAATTTTGAAAAGAAAAATCCAAGAAAATTAAACATCATTTAATCATATACTCCTTTTATGCTTTTTTTTTTTTACTTTTTTTTTTTCTTTTAATCAAATCATACCATTCAAGTTTGCCTCCCATATTCACCACCATCAATCATCAGGTACAAGCGAGACTAAACTTTCTGTGTAGACCTCCGTTGCACGAACACGATGATCAAAGTCAACGGTGCGTTGTTGCCTGGCGCAGTTGTCTTTCTTATTGTAAATTAAAAAATCCAATCCGTACGTAAACAGAACCTCGCCACTTGGCAAAACAAACAACGGGGTTACGAGATTATAAGCTTTCGGCAATAAAGGCTCGCAAGAAATGGATGGATACGAAATAGCGACGTATTTAGACCAAGAATCTTCGACCCCATACTCATTCCAAATCCAGATGTCGAACCTAATAATTGGAGCATAGTCGGAAAACACACAAAGACATCCTTCGAGAACTGCCAATGTCGGCTTGTAATAACCCTCCATACAACTAGGTTGTTTCACGGTTCCAAAAGTCTCACTCTTCAAATCAAAACAAACACCTTCCCATTTCGAATTCCTTTTAATATCGGTTATCCAGTGAAACTTCCCACTCACAAACTTGGCTGAACCAAACATGTATACATCCTTAAAGAACAAATTACGTCCCCAAGAATCAGCCTTTAAGCTATACACTCTTGCGATACTCGAACCAATCACTAATATCATATAACTAACGGCATAAACCTTGTAATCACCACTACTCTCATCGAATCCAAAGCCGTATGCACGAATAGAACCGACATTCTTCGGGCATGTCGTTCCGGTAAAGAAGTCGGGCAATTCCTTGAACTCTCTTGTCGAAGGATTCAACAAGAAAAACCGACATGCGTCGACTAGAACGCAGATCAAACCGTTGCATGAATCCACGATAACTATATCTCTCGAGATATTCAACGGAAAGAAATTGAAAAAAGAGGCGCGAGTGACCGGTTCGGTGAACAAGGAGGACAGAGAACATGCCTTTAGTCTGCCTTTACAGATTGAGATGATTCTTTTGTCGGCGAAAGATTCGATCTTTTTCGAGCGTTGGAGATGGGTTTTGATGAATTGTTTGCTGGAGATCAATGAACGCCATGATGGGGAAACACACTTAAATCTCAAGAGAGATTTTACCGGGAGTCTGTATAATATTTCTTCGGTGATTTCTTGGGGAAGATGAGTGCTTCGCTCAGCATTGCCGGTCTCCATATGCGGCGGCGGCTGTGGTTTATGATTAGGGTTTAGTTTGGGTTTGAGGTCTGTGTCGTATGAGAGAATTTTGATTAGGAAATCCAAACACAATTTCTTTTATCTTCTACGCCTGTTTTTTTTTTTTTTTTTCAAATTACGGCAACCCCTGAAGTATGGTCAAATTACAAAGAAACTCTCTTGTTTGAGTAATTATAGTCAGGTTTTACATAAAATTTATGTTATTTGGTTATTTACCAAGCCAAATCGTATATTTAGTTTGGTAAACGGTATGACATATTGGTGTTCCGAGATTTCGGTTCGGTTTTCTCGAATTAACATCCCTAAATTTTTACCTCCGGATGAGTCTTTTCATTAGATTATACATAGTTGAGGATGTGGCTATAATTACCCAAACATGATGGGGTTTTCATAATTTGACCATAACCTCAGGTGTGACCGTAATTTAACTTTTATATATATATATATATATATATATATATATATATATATATATATATATATATATATATATATATATATATATATATATATATATATATATATATTTATTTAGAAGACCAACACAAATTCTTTTTATCATAGATATAGCATTCCTCACACATTTAAATAACGCAATATACCATTCCAAACCCTAATTCTATTATTTTTTTTTCTCTCTCTCGTTCCCCTCTCTTCTTTCTTCCCGTCTTCTATCTTCTCCGGGTTTTTTTCTCTTCGTTTGGCGGTGATACAGTGATCCGCCATCGAGGACATCGCCGGCGAAGTTTTTGGGGTGACGCGGTCATTAATATATAGAGCTCCTCTCTAAAAACACTAGAAAAAAAAGTTTAATAATATGACTCTCGTAATGGAATTATATTTTTCTTCAAGAGATTATAAATTATTGAATCAATATCTTATAAATAAAAGTAAGATTGTTCCTGGTAAACTATAGAAAATATTTTACAAATGATTATGCGCACAAAATTCAAACCACAAAGGGGTTAAGTGCTATTCACTTTATATAAAAATAAAATAAAAAAAAAATAAAAAAAATCTAATTGGTTTTGAAGAAGGCAGGGTGTTTGGATGAATTTTCTTGAACATCGATAGAGAAAAGCAGCCACCACCAGAAGCAGAAGCAGAAGCAGAAGCAAAAGCACTTCTCCTGCAGCTTTTCTCCTCAGCTTTTTCATGAGATGAATTCATCGGCTTTTCGGAAACATTATCCATTTTGTTCATCTTCTCCTTGTACACCTTTCGGATCATGTAAGCTTCGGCAAGCCCCGCAGAAGCTGTTGACATGGCTCTACCTTTTTTTTATATCTATAAATCAAATTAATGTGCTGATCAAAGAATTAAGCTGTTGCAAATATAATAGATAAGTTGGAATGAACTTTTTTAAAAGCTGAAGCTGGATTGCTATATATAGAGAGAGAGATTTTTTTGTGAACTTGGGGAGCAAGAAATGTGGTCGTAATGGATGACCTCTGCTGTATGTATTCTTGGGTTCAACTTTTTCTTCTTACGTACTAGGAATTGTGTTTTGACTAGGCTTCCTATTTTTATTTTTATTTTTGATAAATAACTTGGCTTCCTAATTAGTGGGCAAAATTGAAATATTTAAAGTTTTATTATTTTACATTTAGGTTAAATAGCACTTAACCTTGAATGTGGTTATAAGATTTTGCAGATCACTTATTTGTGTTCGTAATATCAACACATAACACCCTTGTGGTTTATGGGGCTACTTCCGTCAGTTTTTCGGTCAAACTTGACCGCGTGTATCAAACTTCTTCAATGGGGTCATCTGCAAAAATGAAAGGAAAATGAAAGCACAAGTGGGTCATTTGCAAAAAATTACTTTGATGTTTGACACACACATTTAAATTTGACGGAAAAACTAACGTAAGCTATTCCACATAAACCACAAGGGAATTATGTTCTGATATTACGAGTATAAGGGGATATCTGCAAAATCTTATAACCATAAGGGGGTTTAAGTGCTATTTACCCTTACATTTATAGAGCGTTGACATAAATATTCTTACCTATTTGGTTTGATAGAGAAAGTAGGCACATTCTTTTAGCCTTCTTTTCAATTTCAAATTCTTTTGGACTAGGGACTAATTAAATTAGAACAGGGCAAAATACAATTTTCATCCCTTAAGTTAGCAATGATTTCATAATTGGTTCCTCATATTCATTAAAAACATATTTGGTCCCCCGTATTTCAAAAATTCAACAATTTTAATCATGTACGCCAATTTTTCATTAGTACTAACGGAATCAAGCGTGTGACCATCAATGCTTTAATTGACGGACTTTCGATAAATTAATGAAATGATAAAAAAATGTTAAATTATTTTTCATGAATATTGGGAACCAAATATAAAATTTGTGCAAACTTTGAAGGATGAAAGCTGTTATTCTCCCAATTAGATAGTGGTGCTTTGTGCTTTACAAAAAAGAAAAAAAAATGAAGCATTGGAACAACATAAGGGAAGGCAATTCTTTCGTAGCTGATTATTTTGGAGAAACAAATTAAAGAACATGATTTTTGAAAGGAAAAAAAAAACGACGATGTCTAAGAATTTGTCGAAAAAATAGTCGATCAACTAAAATATCTTAGTCGAGTAAGCAAAAAAATGAAAAAAAAAACATGTAAATCATGTCTAAAGGATAGATAAAATTTGATTTTTTTTTTATGAATTTTTTTTTTTTTAAATCAGAATTAAAATGCTTACAAAAATAATTATATATTGTAAGAAAATTGAGTGGGGAGAATATAATTTTAGAATCCAGCCAAACACAACGTGGTATTAGTCTAGGTGCTATTGTTTGGACAATTTTGGATGGCTTTTGCAAAAAGTGAGGTCAGCAATTATGTCATGGTAGCTTTACTTTTGACGTTTGAGGGTTTGGATTTAGCCAACAATTATTAATTAAACAGTTACACTGAGATTTTACACACCTGGTTTAATAGTTTTCATATTTTCATTTGCTATATTGTAGTGTATACTCATAAAAATATGTTAACCCCATTATACCCTTAGGTCTAGTTTGGTTGGGGAGATTTGCCATGGTTAACTAAATAATTGGACTTTATTTGATGTTTGATATCCTCAATAACTTGCGGATCGACCCGCAAATATCATGTCATCATGCCTTACCTTGCTTTTTAGACATGCCTTTTATTGGATCTTCCGAGGTCCAATAAAACAATAGGGTTTCATTAGATTATTTAATTTTATCTTGGCAACCAAGCGAGGCTTTACTATACAAATAAGTGCATGATTTGAAGTCTATTTCATTACTTTGGATTTTGATTATTCCTTGTTTTGTGGTTATGTCTATTAATTTTATATAACTTGTGGTGTTAGTATTTCTATAGGTAAACATACGCCAATGGACGAATAATGCCGGAAATATATCAATTCGGATGCAAAACCAAAAATTGGAGACGAAATTGAATTACTATTTTGGAAGTGTTTTCCATTGTAATCATAAATCTTTTATTCGAACTCCAAATAACATGATTCAAGCAGCACTGGAAAACTTCAAAGGACAAATGACTACAACTTTTATGTTTTGACGTTCTACAAATTCGGAACATGGATAAAATCTACTTAGAAGTCATCACCGCGGTGATGAAAATATGTTGTCGCGGTATTGGAAAAGAAAATGCCCAAGTTGGTTATGGATGTGATTACCACCGTCAGTGGTGGTACCGCTAGGGGGGCAGTTGACCCCCCAAGAATTTATTTTTTCTTTTAGCTATTTTGACCTAATATTTTTTGAATATTACTTTTGCTCCCCAAAGATTTTGTAAATATGTTTCTTAACCCTTAATTTTTTGTTTATTCTCCATAATTTCATACAAATTATAGATATATATCATATTATAGATATGTGTCGTAATTTTTTTCGCAGTATAAACCTATTTTTTCAATGTCTTGTGAACCTAAATTTTTTTCCGCGGCGCTGCCCCGAACCCTGAAATTTTAGTTAGCCCCCCCTACTTTCTAATCCTGGTTCCGCCCCTGACCACCGTACTGGAATTCTGTTACTGCGGTTATGGATCCTAATGGGCGAAAACGTGAAATTTCAAGCCCCATTAGATTTTTCTTTCTTCTTTGTCAAGAAAGTACTATAAAAAAGGACTTCCCTACACCAAGGAGCTAGAGCTAAGCAACCGGTATTTGCTATGAAGGTTGGGTGAGCTATTTAGAAGCATCGAATCACAACTAAACAAGTCTTGATTAATTTCTAGAGAATTTCCTGGTAATAAAGGAATAAGAAGCTATATCTAACACAACTGGGAAGGAGACAACCGTTGTCAAAGCGAGATTTTGACACTACTTGTTCCGCAAGGTGGATTTTATAGAATGACTTTCCTGCCCGTCTGGGATTGAGTTGTTCTTCTCTTATGAGAAAAAAACTAAAAAGGGTCATATTCTTCGATTGCAAAGTCATGATGTAACGGCTATTCGTCCCCATTATGGGATGGGAATGCACGGAGGATCGACGGTCTAAGAGTTAGATCTCTAGTTCGACATGAGCATGGTGCGTGTTTGTCTAAGGTCGTCCAATAATCATAGTGAGTTTGCTTCGTACTTTGTTAAAAGCGGAATGTTAGGTTTGAGGGTTTAAAGTCGGGTTTTAGCCTTCTGTTAAGTGTATATTTTTACACTTAATCATATCTTTTAATTAGAGCTTTTGGTGTATTTTATTGATAATTAGTGCTTAAAGTGTTTTAGGTACAAATTGAATAATTGGATAAATAGAGGGTCAAAATACGATTTAGGAGAAAATATGGGCGAAAAGAGAAGAAGTAAAAAATGTGAAGAACAAGAGCCCAGACGGCCGTCCGAGAACTAGGCCAAAACTGCACTCTGGCGACGATTTTATTTGCGACGATTCAAGTTTCGTCGCAGTATTGCGACGTTATTGTACCAAAAACGTCGCAATGAGTTTAAGATCCAATTTAACTTCAAACATATGCGACGATTCTCCGTAATCGTCGCAATTGAACGACGAAAATTAAAAATCGTCGCAACAGTTAATAATAAAAAAATTACATACATCAGTTGCGACGATAATAATCAAAACGATGCAATAAAAAATATTTCAACA